GGCACTCAGCCAGGGCAGCACGTTCCGTGCCAGGGCCTGTGGGGCTGGTCTCCGAGCTCCCCGCGCGCTGGGGGGTCCCGCTGGGAATGAGGTGCTGGGAGCTGAGCGCAGCACCCCAGGGCTCTCCCCAGCCCTGGGGAGCAGGACTGACCCTGACGCCCCAGCGTCTGCAGCCCTCCCTGGGGTCCCTGGGCTGTTCCGGCTCCCCCAAGTGCCCCCACCTCCCGAGACTGTCCAGAGACCGGGACCGCCCAGAAAGTGCCTCCTCTTAGCTAGGGTTACCATATTTAAAAAATAAAAAAAAGGACACTCCACAGGCCCTGGCCCTGCCCCTTTCCCAATCCCGGCCCTGCCCTAACTCCGCCCCCTCCCCTGAGCACCCCGCATTCCCCCGCCTCCCTCCCAGCCACGCGAAAAGAGCTGCCCGAGCGCTCCCGCCTTCACGGTTTGCCGGGCAGCCCCCAGACCCTGCGCCCCCGGCCGGCGCTTCCCCAGCGCAGCTGGAGCCTGGGAGGGGAAGTGCCCGGCCGGGGGCGCAGGGCCCGGAGGCATGGGGGCTGCCTGAAGCCGGTAGCGCTTGGGCAGCTCGGCTCTTACAGAGCCCAGGAGACAGGGAGCACAGCAGCCCCCGGCGCCCGCTCTAAGGTAAGCCAGGGAGTATTTTTCCCGGACATGTTCGGCTTTTTGGAAATTCCCCCCGGATGGGGGTTTGATTACCAAAAAGCCAGACATGTCTGGGAAAAACCGGACGTATGGTAACCCTATCTTCGCGGCCCCGCTTCTCTCGCGTGTGTCCTCCGCCAGTGACAGCGTGCGGGGCGGCTGGGTGAGCTGTGCAGGAGATGGGGCAGCATCTGGGGCACAGCACTGGGCTCGGCATGTGCAAGGCACGAGGGGTCTCACCCCTTCCTGTGAGGTGCTGGCGCTCTCAGAGAGGGGAGACCAGGCCAAGTCTGGCAACCCCGCACTGCCTGGGGCCAGCCCTTCATCCAGAGGGTGGGGAAGGTGTCTGTACCGGGCCCATGTGAGGAGCTTCAGGGCAGGGGGTGCAGTTTGAGGCCGGTTACCTGGACACTTTTCCATTAAGAGCTTGAAAAGAAAATCTTCTTCCCTGGCTTCTCCTCCCGCCCCCTCTCAGCCCCCAGCACTGGGGCACGCGGGCAGGGAGGAAAGACCAGCTAAGGGCATTTAGGCTCTCATTAAATCTCTGCCAGAGGCTCCCCATAGCTGGGGCAGCCAGCCTGGGCGGGTGCCTCGCTGGGTGGATTTGTTGCCTGCAGCCACAGCCCTTGGACTCAAGAGACTTTAGGGCCAGATGGGCCAATTGTGATCATCTTGTCTGATCTCCTACACATGGCAGGCCACAGAACCTCACCCACCCACCCCTGTGGTAGGCCCAGAGCCTCCGGCTGAGTCACTGACGGCCTCAAATCATGGTTTAAAGAGTTCACGTGACAGAGACTCCACCATTCACACTAGTTCAAACCAGCGAGTGACCTGGGCCCCAGGCTGCAGAGGGAGGCGAAACCCCCCCCCTCCCCAGGGTCTCTGCCAACCTGACCCGGGGAAATTCCTTCCCCGCCCTAAATCTGGGGATCAGTTAGTAAGTAGCATTTTCATTACTTATTTTTTGGTAGCATTATTCAGAATCTTTTCATTTTTTCATTGTTACTCATTTGATACTGTGTAGTGCCTTTTGCACGCATCAAAGACCTCCTCAGGATTGCAAACCAGGGCCAAAATTTTCAAATTATTTTGCCTAACTTGAGACAACTAGACCCATATTGGTTGAAACTAGAGTAAAGAACAGAATTACCAGACACCTAGATGAACACAATCTGTTGGGGAAGAGTCAACACTGCTTTTGTAAAGGGAAAGCACGTCTCATCAATCTTTATTAAAAAGAACAGGAGTACTTGTGGCACCTTAGAGACTAACAAATGTATTTGAGCATAAGCTTTCAAATTTGTTAGTTTCTAAGGTGCCACAAATACTCCTGTTCTTTTTGCGGATACAGACTAACACGGCTGCTACTCTGAAACCAATCTTTATTAGAATTCTGAGGACAAGGGGGATCCAGTGGATAGTGTAACTTGGACTTTCAGAAAGCCTTTGACACGGTCTCTCACCAAAGGCTCTTAGGCAGAGTAAGCTGTCATGAAATAAGAGGGAAGGTTCTCTCATGGATCAGTAACCAGTTAAAAGAAAACAAAGGTGTCACGGACTCACAGATCGTGCCCACTCTTGGCCCCGTGCAGTCCGTGGGGGGTGCCCCTTTCAGTGAGACAGCCCTTCTTGGGGGTCCACTCTCTCCCGGGGTCAGGCCTCTCCACCTCCTGGAGCCGCACCTCTCTGAGCCTCAGCACGTCTGTCTCTGCCATGGGCCCCCTCAGGGAGTCCACTCGCTCTGGACCCCCCGGGCCTCCACCCCCGAAGGGGTTGATGCCACCCTGTTCTCTAGACCGGAGTGACTCTCAGCCAGCATAAAACAGGAGGGTTTATTGAGAGTTGAACACAGCACAGGAAACTCTCCGGGCCTCAGGCCTGGCCTCCCTCAGCACAGCACATCCAAGTCTCTCCCTGCATCCAGGTGGGCTCTGCCTGCCTCCTCCCTCCAGCCCCGAGCCCCCCTGCTTCCCAGCTGGGCATCTGATATCACCGGGCCTCAAGCCCCGCCTCTGTCCATTGTCTTCTCTCCAGGTAAACAGGGTTGTAAACAGGGTGGCCTGGGCCTCCTCTCCTCTCAGCCCTCCTCTCGCCCCTCTGGCTGGAACCGGCTGGTTAGGTCACTGGGGTCCTCTCTTTGCAGCCCATTGTCCTCCCACTGGCCAGAACCAGCTGCGACTCCTAAGCTGGGTCACCAGGTCACCATTTGCTGGGGTGTCCGTCCTCCAGGCCATCGGCTGGGGTCCCAAGTTCCCTCTCCGGTCCTCTGTAACAACAAACTCCCTCTCCCCTCACCTCGTTAAACCAGTAACACCCGGGACACTGAGTCCCACTCCCTCTGCATGCAAACCACGAAAAAAAGAAAAAATCCCTCACTTTGTCACAAAAGGGTAGAAATAAGTGGTCAGGTTTCAGAATGGAGGGATCTATACTGGATCCAGGGCTGTTCAACATATTCATAAATGGTCTGGGAAAAAGGGTAAACAATGAGGTGGCAAAATTTGCAGAAGATATAAAATTACTCAAGACAGTTAAATCCAAAGCTGATTGCAAAGAGTTATAAAGGGATCTCACAAAACTAGGTGACTGGGTGTAACGATGCTGGTTCTGGCGGGACCCAACTGAGAGTTCCAATTCAGGACAAATTGCTTAAAACAGGGCAGTTACAGCCCAAGGCTGGGGTTTTTCCACCCCTAAGGCAAACCAAACCAGCCAGACTAAGAGGACTTCGGTCTCACCCCACTGGCTAACCGCAAGTCTCACAAGCAATCCCCCTAGACACTCCAGTTTCCCAGTATCACCACCAGTGCCACTCGTTATGGGGACAAATGGTTATGAAAACCAATACCCCAATAAAAGAAAAAAGGTTCTCTCGATCCCAAAGGACCAAGCCCCAGACCCAGGTCAGTATACAAATCAGATCTTACCCACAAATCACGCTGTTGCCAATCCTTTAGAATCTAAAATCTACAGGTTTATTCATAAAAGGAAAAAGATAGAGATGAGAGCTAGAATTGGTTAAATGGGATCAATTACATACAGTAATGGCAAAGTTCTTGGTTCAGGCTTGTAGCAGTGATGGAATAAACTGCAGGTTCAAATCAAGTCTCTGGAACATCCCCAGCTGGGATGGGTCCTCAGTCCTTTTTTCAGAGCTTCAGTTTGTAGCAAAGTCCCTCCAGAGGTAAGAAGCAGGATTGAAGACAAGATGGAGATGTTTCAGAGTAGCAGCCGTGTTAGTCTGTATCCGCAGAAAGAGCAGGAGTACTTGTGGCACCTTAGAGACTAACAAATTTATTTGAGCGTAAGATTTTGTGGGCTACAGCCCACTTCTTCGGATGCATAGAATGGAACATATATTGAGGAGATATATATACACATACAGAGAGCATGAAAAGGTGGGAGTTGTCTTACCAACTCTGAGAGGCCAATTAAGTAAGAGAAAAATTTTTTTTTGAAATGATAATCAAGATAGCCCAGTACAGACAATTTTATAAGAAGTATGAGAATACTTACAAGGGGAGATAGATTCAATGTTTGTAATGGCTCAGCCATTCCCAGTCTCTATTCAAGCCTAAGTTGATTGTATCTAGTTTGCATATCAATTTCAGCTCAGCAGTTTCTCGTTGGAGTCTGTTTTTGAAGCTTTTCTGTTGCAAAATTGCCACCCGCAGGTCTGTCATTGAATGACCAGACAGGTTAAAGTGTTCTTCGACTGGTTTTTGAATGTTATGATTCCTGATGTCAGATTTGTGTCCATTAATAATTTTGCGTAGATGGAGATGAGGCATCAGCCTTTTATAGTCTTTTCCAGGTGTAAGAACACCTCTTTGTTCTCACTGTGGAAAATTACAGCAAAATGGAGTCTGGAGTCACATGGGCAAGTCCCTGCATACTTTGCTGAGTTACAAGGCGTATCTGCCTTCTCTCAATGGGTCAATTGTATAACTGATCAGCCAACCATAACCTGTCCATAGACCCCTTACACGACAACCTTTATACAATATTTGCTGCAAATATATAACAGTGGTCGCAACAGTGATCTATACAGTTACAGATTATGTCAATAACGTCACACTGGGCAACCAATTGGCAGATGAAATTTAATGTTGATACATGCAAAGTAATGCATATTGGAAAACATAATCCCAACTATGCAGATAAAATGATGGGGGCTAAATAGCTGTTACCACTCAAGAAAGATCTTGGAGTCATTGTGGAGAGTTCTCTGAAAACATCCACTCAATGTGCCGCGGCAGTCAAAAAAGCAAACAGAATGTTAGGAACCATTAGGAAAGGGATAGATAATAAGACACACAATATCATTGTGCAACTATATATTTCCATGGTACGCCCACACCTTGAATACTGCGTGCAGTTGTGGTCACCACATCTCAAAAAAGGTTTATTAGAATTTTAAAAGGTACAGAGAAGGGCAACAAAAATGATTAAGGTATGGAACAGCTTCCATGTGCAGAAAGATTAAAAAGACTGGGACTTTTCAGCTTGGAAAAGAGACAACTAAGGAGAGATATGACAGAGGTCTAGAAAATCGTGAATGATGTGGAAGTGAATAAGGAAGCGTTATTTACTCCTTTACATAATAAAAAAAAAAACGGGTCACCCAATGAAATTAATAGGCAGCAGGTTTAAAACAAAAGGAAGTACTTCATACAATGGACAGTCAACCTGTGGAACTAATTTCCAGGGAATGTTGCGAAGGGCAAAACTATAACAGGATTCCAAAAAGAATTAGATTAGTTCATGGAGGATAGGTCCATCAATGGCTATTAGCCAAGATGATCAGGGACAACCATATACTCTGGGTGTCCCTTGTCTCTGATTGCCAGAAGCTGGGAACGAACAACAGGGGATGGACCCTGGGCATGTGGGTGAGACCCACCAGCCAGACAGCTGCGAAAGTATTCTTTGCAGCAACTCAGAGCCCTCCCACCCTGTGTCACATCACCGGCCGCTGGGAGTATTTGCTGCTAGCGGTCGCAGGTCGGCTCCATGCCATCGTCGGCAGCCCCATCACACCATCCCCTCCATAAACTGATCACACTCAGGCTGGAAGCCAGTTCGGGGTTTTGCCCCCACTGCTCCCCTTGGGCGGCTGCTCCAGAACTTCACTCCTCTGATGGTGAGAAACCTTCATCTAAATTCAAGTCTAAACCTGTTGATGGCCAGTTTCTAGCCACATGTTCTTGTGTCCACATGGGCGCTTAGCTTCAATAACTCCTCTCCCAGCCTGGTGTTTCTCTCTGGGATGGATTTAGAGAGAGCGATCGATCTCCCCTCGGCCTGCGTCTGGTCAGGCTAAACAAGCCGAGTTCGATGAGTCTCCTCTCGTAAGGCAGGTTCTCCGTTCCTCCGATCAGCCTCGTCGCCCTTCTCTGCACCTCTTCCAGTCTGAATTCATCTTTCTTACCCGCGGCAGAGCAGCCCTGCTCGCGTGTTCCAGCCGAGGGCTCACCAGTGCCTGGTTTAATGATACTAGCACGTCCCCGTCTCTCCGGGAAATCCCCCGCCTGACGCACTCTAGGACTGCGTTAGCCTTTATCACGGCCGCATCACACTGGCGGCTCATAGTCCCCCCGTGATGGACACATACACCCAGGTCTCTCCTCCTCCATTGCTTCCAGCGGAGACGTCCCCAGCTTAGAGCAGGGATTGTGGTTAGTCCCCAAGTGTGTGACCTGGCACCTTGGCTGGGTCTCTCTGCTCTTCACCCTCGGACTGGGCCTGCTTGGCACTGGGCTGGGGGAGCAGGTGGTGCTGGAGATGAGTGTGCGCTGGGGCAGTTACCTGCCCGTGCCCAGCGTGGTGCTGTGAGCACGGCTGACAGGAGGAGTGACCTGGTGTACATGTGGGCCCTGCCCTAGGCTCTCTCACACTCACCGGGGGCTGGTTCTCCTCCACTTCCTGCCCCAGGAGTCTGTGCCACCGTTAAACAGACGCTGTCGCTCACTCGCCATGCTGGCAATTGGGAAGGCTGCAGAGGGCGAGGAGGGGGAGCAGGGCAGTGTGACTTACCTCTGCCTTCTCTTGTGCAGCTGGCTGCAGGCGGGATGGCAGCACTGTGGAGGTCGTACCAGCGGCTCATGGCCCAGCACCCCTGGAAAGTGCAGATCCTCACAGCTGGTAAGAGCCTCTGGCCGTTCCTTGGAGTGTCTCTGCCCGGGGGGTTTACTTTCTCGGAGGCTGAGCACGGGGCAGGCCCCGGGCCCGGGAACTGCAGGGTGGAGTGAGGCAAAGGTGCATGGAGTGAACTGGGTCTCACGCTCTGGAACTGCCCGCGCTCGGGTCTGTGGACAGAGAATGCTGCGCCTCGGGGCTGGGGAGGTGGGCAGCTAGCCGTAGCCAGGGGCACGGGCAGGCAAGAGCCCTACCTAGACAGGGCTGGCCCAGCTCCTCCCCTTGATGCCCTGGTATTACACACACGCACACCCACAGTTCCTGGCTGAACATGCAGAGTTGCTGCTTCGGGGCCTAGAGCAAAGCTGGTGCATGGCCAGGAGCAGGCATTTGGGACCTCCCCTCTCCAGCAAGCGAGCCAGTGCCTCCCCCCTTCCCCCCTGTCTCTCCTCTATTTGGGGCTGCTGGGGAAGGTGCTAATTCCAGGTCTGACACGTGATCCAGCCCCAGGAGGGGCTGCAGAGTGCATGGCTCATACACACATTGCTGTGGGTGTGGACGTGGGGCTGGGGCGCTGGCAGTGCCGGGCTGGAGGCCGTGCTGGGGTGTGGGTTGGAGCCCCGCCCTTGTTGGAGCGCTGGGTGTGCCGTGCCTGGCCGAGCGCTGGGGTGGGGATGTGTGCGTGTGTCTGTGGGGAGGTGTTGCTGTGGGTGTGGACGTGGGGCTGGGGCACTAGCAGTGCCGGGCCGGAGGCTGCGCTGGGGTGTGGGTTGGAGCCCCGCCCTTGTTGGAGCGCTGGGTGTGCCGTGCCTGGCCGAGCTCTGGGGTGGGGATGTGTGCGTGTGTCTGTGGGGGGGTGTTGCTGTGGGTGCAGACGTGGGGCTGGGGCGCTGGCAGTGCCGGGCTGGAGGCTGCGCTGGGGTGTGGGTTGGAGCCCCGCCCTTGTTGGAGTGCTGGGTGTGCCATGCCTGGCCGAGCTCTGGGGTGGGGAGGTTGCACGCGAGAGGCGCCCCAGCTGCATGTGCCGGGGCTGCCGGCCCGTCAGTGAGTCGGGCAGGGAGTCACCTTCCGGTGGGTGCTTGGCTCTGGTACGAGCCCCGATGCCCTGTCGGAGTCGCATTCCCCCTCCCCTGCTTGAGTGGCGGGTGCGGGGTGCTGAGGTGGGCAGCAGCTTTGGCCAGTCGAAGCTGTTCCCCCCCTGCCAGCCCCGCACCCCACTGTTCCTCCCCCAGGCGCCCCAGGCCAGGCCTGAGCTGTCACCTGCAGCCAGGAGAGGGCAGCACACACTCAGGTTTAGGCGCTGTCCGGGGCTGAGCTTGCGTCTAAAGGGGTCTCTGGCATCTAAGGGGGTCTCTGCTTCCGTCTGGGACAGACCAGTCGTTTCCTGGCTCTCCCCCGCCCCTCCGCTGGGCTGAGGCTGCAGCTGTCTCCAGGGGTCACTCCTGTCCTGCAGCTCCCCAGGAGTGTGCGCAGGGCTGGCTCGGACTCTGTCCGGGGCAGGCTGGATGGACTGTTCTGAGCTAGGCCCAAGACAGCCTGGCTAGGCTGGGCACTGTCCCGCCCGGAGATCTGCCAGGCTGGTTCCTGGAGCTCTCTGCTCCCCTTTATGCAGCATTGTGCCCTCAACTTGGCTCTGGGTCTGTGCCCGCTGGGGAGAGAAGCCCTGGCCCTTTTCACCAGCTCTCCTGCTGCTCCTTGGTGTGCCCCGAGCAGGGTCCAGGCGGGCAGCCTCTGCAGAGAAATCGGCTCCTGCCCAGAGCTGCAGCCCTGCAAGGGGTTGGCCCTGGGTCCCCAGTCCCTGCCACGTCTGGGGGCAGGGACCCTGAGTGAGTGTGAGGAGCTGGAGGATGATAAGGGCCAGGCTCCAGGAGCCCCAAGTGGGCTAGCGGAGGGGCAGCCTGGTGCTGGGGGGGCAGGGACCCACCCTGGCAGCTGGCTCGGAGCAGGGTGAGCACCAGGGGGCTCCGGCAGGGAGCAGAGTGAGGCTGTGGGGCTGGGACAAGCTTGGGCATTACTGGCACCAGCGCAGGGTTCCCTGGCTACCCTGGATTAAGCCGTCTGGGGCATCAGGGGGGCGTCTTTCTGCCACTCTGCGACGGCCGGCAGGGCCAGAGAGCGGACTTGGAACCAGCCTGCCCCTTCTTACCCAGTCAGCACAGCCGCTCCGATTCCTGCCCCCAGCCACTCCCCTGCTGCCGAGGGTCGCAGCCTGGTGCCCCGCTGGTCACTCAGTGGGCCGACCTCGCACATACCGGGCAGGACCGTAACCTCTCAGCCGACCCCTCCTCCCCACCCGGTGCGCGGGAGGCCACGGGGGCGCGGTGGTTCATGCGTAAGAAGATCAGTCCCTGCTTTAGTGCAGATCTTGGCAGCTTCCTGAGCAGTGCCGGACCCGCTGGTGTGGTGAGCGGGACGCTCTGTGGGCTGTTGCCTGTTTGTTGGAGCGGGTGGGTGTGTGGCAGGGGGTTGGGTCTGCTGGATGCCCAGGCTGGAGTGGGTTTTCCGCCCCCTGGACTCGAGACTAAGGTGTGATGTGGTCTGTGTGTGGAGGCAGCGGCCAGGCGCTGGCTCTGGCCCCGTGGGATGAACTGGACAAGCACAGGCTGGGGAGCTTACCCAGGAGACGTCTGGGGGTGGTTTTGTACCTACGTGGGGAGAGGGCCCTGCAGCCCGCAGGCAGAGGAAGAACAAGAGCTGGAGCAGTGGCTCGCAATCGTTCCAGACGTCTGTGCCCCCCTCACCAGGCTGGTTCGTCTCGCGTACCCCACGTTTCACCTCCCTCACAAAACCAGACATAAAAATCCAGGAGTGTCCCAGCCACATCGTTCCTGACAGATTACCGACGTTCTCAGTGTCACCACTGAGTTATAAACCATGTGGAACAGAACGCTTGTACTTATGGGGCGGTCTATAGTGTACATACAGCAGTAGGAGCGAGTCACGGGCTGTAGGAAATTTTAGTTTGGGCTGACTTCGCTAGTCAGTTTTTATGTAGCCTGTTGTAAGACTAGGGCAATACCTGAAGGAGTTCAGGGACCCGCTGGTGACCCCGGGGTGCACGTCCCCCCGCAGTGCGCAGCACAGAGCTAGAGAACTCCAGACGGGAAATAAGGCACAGAGGTCTCACCGTGAGGGCAATTCAGCACTCGGGGTCTTTACCTCCGGCCTGGCTGGCTCTGCCTCGCGCTCAGCTCTGGCTCGCCAGCAGGGCTGGGCTGGACCCAGGGCCACTGTGGGAGGCTCCCTGGCCTGGGCCATGCAGGAGAGCAGGCGAGCCGGTCACAACTGCCCCTTACGGCCTTCAGATGTACAACTGCCCCCTGCTGAGGCTGAATTGGCAGCGACCCTGGAGGGCGAAAGGCTCCCTCCCGTCTCCTAGGCCACGGAGCCAGTGGGAGCCTGGGGCTCAGAGCGCCAGGGGGCAGGGGCCAACCACGAAACCTGGGAGAGCAGCAGCTGCCCCCTGGGGCAGGCTCCTCAGTGTTACTGGAGTGGCCGGGACCTGCTCTGGGCACTGCACCCCTCTCACTGGCCCGAGGCCCAAGAGACAGACAGACGGACAGCTGGACAGTGTCTCTGCACACCACCAGCCCGGCCGCTGGTTCTTTGGAGGCCTCGTGGCAAAGGAGGAGGCATGTGAATGGGGGGCAGGGCGGGGCCTGGACCCCCCCCCACGTGGGGGGCAGCCGGGGGGAGCACCGAAAGCCTGTTAGAAATGTAACGGGTGGGCAGTGGAGCCGGCCCCAGCAAGGGGCTAGGCTGGGTGGGGACGGGCTGTGCCGGGCCGTGGCGGTGATGTCTGAGGCGTTGGGGAGGAGGGATCCTGATGCACTCAGAGTGCCGGGCTAGGACCGCGATCTTCCAGCAGCACCCTGACTGCTCTGCTCACCCGCCCCAGCCAGGGCTCGTGGGGGGTTCCTGGTGTGAGGTTGGGGTCCTGCGTTTTCCCAAATCTTTTCCATTCCCAGGAGGAGAGTTGGGGGCGGGAGTGGTGGCTGTGGTGCCTGAGCTGTGCCCCACAGGTTTTTGTTGTGCCCGGCGGGGGGTCTTTGTGCATTTCCTGCTCTCGTGTCTGGGCTTGTAGCCTCCCAGCTCCAGGAGGGTTCGGGCCAGAGCCTGGCTGGACAGCATCATCATCCCTCCCTCCCCTCCCGACACCAGTTATTGGCAGGGCACATTCGCTGGGGGATCTGGGCTGCTCTGCTGACGGGAGCCATGTTAGCACAGAGATAGGGTCTGCTCCCGCTCCAGCCGTTCCAGCTCGGGGGTCTCCGGCGCCCGTCCAGGGCAGGGGGCTGGCTCCCTTGGCTTTCACCTGCCTTGGGCAAGGCTGATGGCCAGGTGCCAGGCTTTGGGGCAGCGCAGGCTCCTGCTCTCGCTGCTCGGCGGACAAGGTGCGCAGCAGGGGTAAGTCTGGCGGGGAGCGGGACCAGGGGCGTGCCTGGGGGCGGGCGCTGCAAGGCATCACAGTGCCAGCGGTGGAGGTGGTGCTGCAGCCCAGCTGCTCTCTGGCTAGAGGGACCCAACGCTTGGACCCTGCAGACATTTCCAGTGTGCTGGGTTTGAAGCCCCAGTGACGTGCTGCCTTCAGGCTCACTGTGTAAGTCCTGGGGCATGAACCCCAAAGGATGCGGGTGACTCGGCTGCCCATCTGGGTGCAGAGTTAGGAGGCATTCCTAGACCGTCAGGTCCACTCCCGCTCACCTGCAGCGCTGGGACGCGAGCCCTGTTCTAACGGGGGAAGAGGAGCCGGCTGCTAGCAGCATCCTGCAAACAAGCCCTCACAGCATCTCTAAGCTAAAGCCTGCTGCTCAGGGCCGCCTGCTGGCCGGGCATGGCGACAAAATGCAGCTGTGAGCCAGGCCTGCGCTTGCCATTCTCTGAGCATCCCTGGGACTTTCCCCCTGCTCAGTCTCCTCTCCTAGCTATGGCAGCACGGAGCGTCAGCCAGCCAGCCTGTGTGCTGAGTGGGGTCCCGTGAGCCCCTCCTGCTCTGGCTGTCGGGG